ATGGATGCCCTGGGAAGTCTGCAGCATCTCTGCAGTTTCTTTGGTGAAGGCAGTCATGTTTCTCTACTTTGTCTTGAAGACTATTATGCAAGATGGTCGTTCCCTCTCTTATCCAAGATGGCCGTTCTCAATCTTCACCGTCCATCTTGAGGGGGCGTCATGTCCTGTATTATCTTCTTTAATTGTAAATTTTGAGGGATTTAATGAAACATCATTTCTAGAAAAGTGTGGTTCAATTCTTTTCATGAAAGAGTGGACACATCTAGTAAATTCATCTCAAATGGCTTTGTTTGGTATTTGCAGGAACGAGTAGAAAACTTGTGACCAAAAAAGTACCTATTTCTAGCACTAGGGCCTTTGTTAAGATTGGTTATAAACCATATATTTAAGTAGAGCGACGAAATTATATAAAGCGAACACTCTCATTTCTCTTGTTCCGATGTTGAATGTTCGTTATAGAACGGCAAGAATGAGGAAAACAAAGCTGAGTCCAAATCAGAGGGCTATTCAATTCACCGCCTAAACCTCGGTCAGTCTTGAAGTCCTATCCAAACATTTTAGACATAGCTGGAATGGATTATTCTCAGGCTACAAGAAAACCTCCAATACACAGTTAAGATAGCATAACGACAGAATTTTCCGTCGCTAAAACTCTGGGCGTAGAAGCAAGTTCGAAAATTTAATACAAAATTTGGGAAAAAGAGTTCCAAGAGGAATAGCTGTTGGACTGCACTACAGAAATGCTGCCATCTTTATCATTAATTTGTAGTATAAATCAATAATATTTACAAAGTACAGTAATAAACTACAATTTGTACATTGTCCCTGAAATTTGTGTTTTATTTATGAATTATTCTAGCGACCCGGGCTCAATGACTCCCTATTGACAGGGTTTTAAAATGTCCCCACGTGCGTGGGTTTGTATTTGGAGGGAAAATATAATGGTCACGTGTAGAGGGAAAAAATAGTGGTCACGTGAGAGAGAGACTACTACTTAGAATTCAACAGAAAATACGGGATTGAAGGTGTGGGATATGGGATTGAAGAACACAGCAGACGGTGCGGTGCGGAGATCGAAAAACGTCTGGTGCCGCAATAGTAGAGGGAAGTGCTGCCGGAGGAGCAACGGCAATGTGCCGCCGGAGATGTTGATGGTGTGGGTTTTGTACATTGATTTTGTACAACTAGTTTGATAGATGCAAACTAGTTATATAAAGTCGATGTACATGTAGCGTATTTGTAATTTTCTGTTTTCTCCTTTGTCAATTTTCCTCTCTTTCTTCACACTTTGACTTAGTTTTTTCTTCAATTTTTCCCTACCCATGAATATTCAAATATGTCTGGGTGATTAATTTTTATAGCAACCCGACATTTTTGTAGACACCTAATTTAAGATCATAGAAAAAATAACTATAAAAGATAAGGAAATAAAAAGGGAAATTTTCATAAGGATTAAGGATCATCAATTTCAAAATTAAGAATATAGGTAGGGATTTTTTTTGTAATAATAGTGAAAGTTAGTACATTATGTGCTAATTACCATTTTAATAATTTATTTAAGACTCATTTTCGTTTTTCAAAAAAGTTGGAATTATGTTTGCAATTAATTTTTTTCCTTTTGTTTTATTGAAAGGGAAGGGCATTTTCATCATTTCATAATTTTTAATTGAGAAAATGAATAAAAATAACATTTTGAGCAATGAAAGGTGAAAATAAGGGTGAAAATGTCAAAAAATGAAAGGTATAGACGTTTCTCACAATAACAATAAAAGGTGGGGACTTTATGTATTAACTACCCTAAATTAATTTATATTGTTATTAATATTAATATTACAATATTAATTTAAAATAATCAAATTCCTACCTGATTTTTGAAAAATGAAACTTTCTACCTGATTTTTAAATATTGATTTTGAAAGTAGGATTTTATGTAATTTTGCCAAATAGAATATTAATGAATCCACTTTTTCTATTGTATGGATCAGGTTGGGTCGTTCTTGGGTGAAACGATTTTGGGTAGATCCAAAACGACCCAATTCGAGGATCGGTTTGGTTGCAATAATATTGGTTTGGGCTTGGTCCCAAATCAAAGTAAAAAAATAAAAGCCTAATTATTATAGGGAAAAAAATCATAAATATCCGTGAAATATAAAAGATTACATATTGTACTAAAATATTCATTTATATAACAATTTTACTGTATATCCCCAAAAATAAAACATCCAAATTACTAATTCTGAAAC